ACAGGTCTTGTCATACTCGATCTGCCCGCAGCTCTCTAGCTAGTTAGGATCTTGGGCACAGGTGCCCTGTCAGTTTCAGGTCAACTTGGGCTCCGAACCTGCAGTTGGCCGTGTGACTTCCCACACTGCAGCTCAGAATGTTATTGCCTGTGCCTGCAACTTATTTCTTTAAAAAATATTTAATTTTATTTATCATTATTCTAAAAAAAATTGCTACCAGGCTCATGCACTCATGAGAGAGAGAGAGAGAGAGAGGAAGTGAGAAAGCAAACTGCCAGGTCTGGGACTCAAACCATGACTGGCCACGTGGGAGTCCAACGCCTCAACCACCATGCCATTTTATTGTCTTAAAATGTAAAGTATCTGAAGCCTTCACACGTCTCATTCTGCTCCTGAATCTGCTTTCTCCGCCATTATGTTTATCGTGAGAGAGACACATATTATTTATTTTTCTGAGAACCTATTCTTTGATACAGTCTCTGTTTGAAGTTTTTAGGGCTGAGTTGATGGCTGACTCTTTCAGGGGAGATTTGCATTTGTTATTTCATAAGAGCACAGAGTTCTACTACCCCAGGACCGCCTTAAGCTGCATATTAGCTTGATTTTTCTTTTTCTTTTTTTTTTTTTAGTCTGCCCCTGCTATATAAATTCAGGTTTATTATACATTAGGCTTGTATCAAGTTCGTGAATTCTCAGAGGTTTCATTTTTTGTATTTCTATCCAATACCAAATTCCTTGACGTGGTAACAACCAGTTTTCTTTGGTACTGGAGATAAGGCCGGGTGGGAGGATGTGGTGAGTGATGATTTGGGTCTCGGAAGGGGTGGGGTGAGAGGGCTCTTATATTAAACCAACTCTGAGCACAGTCCCTTAGGACTACACCTTGGTGCCAGGCACCTGCAGCCTGTCTCCCTCAGAGAGGCCTTCTGCTTCGTTTCCTGCTCTCATGCCTCTTTTCAGTTTCTGAAAACTGCCGCTCAGGTCACCTAATTTCAGCAAATGTCAGAGAACTTTCACATCTTTCATTAGTTTTGTATCTCCTTGTTTAGCTTAATTTTGATCTTCAGATAGTCTTTATTTTCTTAGATTACTGGTACATACAAAAGTATTGATTTAAAGTGTTCACCCACTGTCATCAGAAGACACCATTCACCTGTTCA